TTCTTTTAACTTGGGGCGCGTGTACCTGTACATCTGGAAACTCCGATTTTCATACTCAGAGAGCTGTGCTTGCTGTTGCCCCTTTGCTTTCAGCAGGGCTTGTTCTGGCTTAGCGTTGGGAGGATTATACTGTCTGGGAGGTTTGCCAGATTAATTTGGCCGGCTGCCTGTTGTTCAATCTGGAGCTACTGAAGCCCTCGGTTTCTCTGGGACCCTGCTGCCAGATATTCCATATGGGATGCCCAGAAATATAGCCTAACATTAGGGAGATTTAGTTCTCCCAAGTCTCGGCGGGCCTATACATTTTTAATGACAATTCTTGTTTTTTGCCTACCAAATGAACCTTGAAAAGGTCTTGTGGAGCTTATTAAAGTGAGAGGTTTTAAATTCTCCCAAACAGTTGTAGTTGATATAAGAGACTAGGGAGGATATTTATTTTAGGAAGCAATATTCTTTCCACAACTGCAACAGAGATCCATCCACTTGGCCAGATGATCCTTAATGTTTGGTGGCATCAGGTTTGTGTTCAGTTCTTGAATGGGCTCATTAACGTCTTAAACTCCAAATAAGGATGTGTAATGGCTTAAGTAGCCTGGTCAGAGATGTCCTAAAAACAGTGGAGTGAAATAGCATTATATTCAGTCCTCCATATTCACTCTGGTTAGGGGTACAGGACCACCACAAAATCAAAAAGCAGTGAATTAAAAATGGTAGCTTTTAACACAAGATAATATCTTTCTTAGAAATCTGTGGGTCCTCCAACACATCTTTATAGTCAACTTCACCTGGAAATTGACCACAGAATCACCCAGAGGGCCTACAGATTCCTAGAGATAATAATAATAATAATAATAATAATAATAATAATAATAATAATAACTTTTATTTGTATCCCGCTACCATCTCCCCAAGGGACTCGGTGCGGCTTACATGAGGCCAAGCCCACAGCACACCAATAAACAAGGTGATAACAAATAATCAATACATAACAGTTAAAATAAAATAATAAGGGACCTTATCACATTAAGAAATACTCTGTTTCTGAGACTGTTTGAGAATAGTTTTGAACGGGTCCCATCACATGACCTTTGCCCCATACCGTTAATATTCAATTGGAACCCATCTGCAAAGTGTTGCAGAAATGGATTATTTGCAGATGGGATTAAAATTGTCGGACTGGATGAGGGCTAACAAATTGAAACTGAATCCAGACAAGACAGAGGTCCTCCTGGTCAGTTGAAAGGCCGAACAGGGCATGGGATTACAGCCTGTGTTGGATGGAGTTACACTCCTCCTGAAGACGTAGGTTCGCAGCTTGGGAGTGATCCTGGATTAATTGCTGAGCCTGGAACCCCGGGTTTCAGTGGTGACCAGGGGAGCTTTTGCACAGTTAAAACTTGTGTGCCAGATGCACACGTACGTTGGGAAGTCTGATCTGGCTATGGTCGTACATGTTCTGGTTACATCCTGAATAGATTACTGCAATGCGCTCTCTGTGGGGCTGCCTTTCAAGACAGTTTGGAAACTTCAGATAGTCCAGCAGGCGGCAACCAGATTACTAAGTGGAGTGACATACAGGGAACATACCACCCCCCTCTTATGTCCGCTCCACTGGCCGCCGGTCCACTTCTGAGCTCAGTTCAAAGTGCTGGTTTTGACCTATAAGGCTCTATACTGTTCTGGCCCAGCTCACCTGTCCAAAGACATCTGCCTCTATGTCCCACCTCTTAATTTATGATAATCCATGGAGGCCCTGTTCTTGCTCCCGCCTACATCGCAAAAACTGGTTTGGCTGGGATGAGAGACAGAGCCTTCTTGGTGGTGGCTCCCTGCCTGTGGAACATGCTTCCAAAGGAGATAAGAACAGACTCACCGCTCCTGTATTTCAGGAAGAAAGTGAAATTTTGGTTGTGGGACCAGGCTTTGGGACAGCAGACTTAATTAGCACTTTGGTTGGAAATTGACTGGAATGACAATATAGCTGATGATATTGTAATATTATTTTAATGGTTTATGTACTATTTTAATTAATGCTTTGTGTATTTTAATTATGTTGTATTATTTTAATTGTTTATATGAAGCGGCATCGAATTGTTGCCTAATGTAATCCGTCCTAAGTCCCCCTTCGGGGTTAGAGAAGAGATGGGGTAGAAATACCGGAAATAAATAATAATAAATAACTGGGCCGGGGCCATTTACGGCTTTATAGGCCAAAGCCAACACTTTGAATTATGCCAATGCATTAAAACAGCAGAGCTTTAGAAGTGTTTTTCAGTTACCCCAAAATGTATATGTTGTTGTTCATTCGTTCAGTCGTCTCCGACTCTTCGTGACTTCATGGACCAGTCCACGCCAGAGCTCCCTGTCGGCTGTCACCACCCCCAGCTCCTTCAAGGTCAGTCCAGTCACTTCAAGGATGCCATCCATCCATCTTGCCCTTGGTCGGCCCCTCTTCCTTTTACCTTCCACTTTCCCCAGCATAATTGTCTTCTCTAGGCTTTGCTGTCTCCTCATGATGTGGCCAAAGGTACTTCAACTTTGTCTCTAGTATCCTTCCCTCCAATGAGCAGTCGGGCTTTATTTCCTGGAGGATGGACTGGTTGGATCTTCTCGCAGTCCAAGGCACTCTCAGAACTTTCCTCCAACACCACAGCTGAAAAGCATCGATCTTCCTTCGCTCAGCCTTCCCTAAGGTCCAGCTCTCACATCCGTAGGTTACTACAGGGAATACCATGGCTTTGACTAGGCGGATCTTTGTTGCCAGTCTGAAGTCTCTACTCTACTCTATGTATATATTCTCCCACAAAACATTTTGTTTTATATCATGCACTCAAGAGACAAAAATGAAATAGACTTTGATAAGCTCCACTTGGCTGCCAGTTTGCTACCGGGCCCTAAACGGTTCCGGCCCACCTTATCTATCTGAACGCATCTCTTCCTACGAACCCTCCAGGAACTTAAGATCGTCTGAGGAGGCCCTGCTCTCGATCCCTCCTGCCTCACAAGCACATCTGGCGGGGACGAGAGACAGGGCCTTCTCTGTGGTGGCCACTCGGCTGTGGAACTCCCTGCCTAGGGATATTAGATCAGCCCCCTCCTCCTGACTTTCCGAAAAAGAGTAAAAACGTGGCTCTTCGAGCAAGCATTCGGAACCCCGGAATAAAAAGACAAACTAGAGTTGAAAAATGACCCAGGAACGGCCAAGACAATGTAACGGATGAGGATTTGAACGAGAAGACATAGTTCTTTTTTAAATTGTTATTATGCACTGTCTTTTATGTTTAACTAGCTGTCCCCTGCCACACGTTGCTGTTGCCCAGTCTGTTGATCTGGAAAATAAAGTAATGAGAAAGTGTTGGTTTCTAATATATGTAATTTCTTTATGCTTGTGAGTAAACAGTATTTCTTCCTATTTCTTTGTCAGTGTTGATGTGTAGAGTGTCTGGTTTGCCACCCTGGAACATGCAACGTATCATTATCCTTCTATGATATCCTTCTAAGATCCATAAATCTATGATACTATATCTCTCTGTGTGTGAATAATATCTATCTATCTATCTATCTATATCTATGGCTGGATGGCTCTTTGTCAGGAGGACTTTGATTACGTTTTCTTGAGCTGGACTGAATGGCCTTAAGTATTTTCTGTTGGTTATTGGGGTTCTGTGTGGGAAGTTTGCCCCATTTCTGTCGTTTGAGGGTTTCAGAATGCTCTTTAATTGTAGTGAACTATAAATCCCAGTAACTACAAATCCCAAATGTCAAGGTCTATTTCCTCCAAACTCCATCTGTGTTCATATTTGGGCATATGGAATTTTTGTGTCAAGTTTGGTCCAGATCCATCATTGTTTGAGTCCACAGTGCTCTCTGGATGTAGGTGAACTACAACTCCCAAACTCAAGGTCAATGCCCACCAAACCCTTCCAGTGTGTTCTGTTGGTCATGGAAGTCCTGTATGCCATGTTTGGTTCAATTCCATCATTGGTGGAGTTCAGAATGCTCTTTGATTGTAGGTGAACTATAAATCCCAGTAACTACAAATCCCAAATGTCAAGGTCTATTTCCTCCAAACTCCATCTGTGTTCATATTTAGGCATATGGAATTTTTGTGTCAAGTTTGGTCCAGATCCATCATTGTTTGAGTCCACAGTGCTCTCTGGATGTAGGTGAACTACAACTCCCAAACTCAAGGTCAATGCCCACCAAACCCTTCCAGTGTGTTCTGTTGGTCATGGGAGTTCTGTGTGCCAAGTTTGGTTCAATTCCATCGTTGGTGGAGTTCAGAATGCTCTTTGATTGTAGGTGAACTATAAATCCCAGCAACTACAACTCCCAAATGACAAAATCATAAATTTTTTGAGTGATGGTCACTCCTTGTGTTGTGAGATGTTTTGTTGCCAAATTTGGTGTGATTTTGTTCATTGGTTCTTTTGTTTTTAAGGTACTCATTATGCACAGAGCACACACACACACACACACACACACACACATATATATATAATGTTTTTGCTTTATCAATGTATGTATTTTTACGGCATCGAATTGTGCCGACTGTTATACCGCCCTGAGTCGCCTTTGGGCTGATATGGGCGGGATAGAAATAATGTAAATAAATAAATAAACATATTTGGTTTACTCACAACCTTTATGTATTCAGCATACACAGGTACAAAACGTATCAGTCCAGTTTCAGATATGTTTGAGATGGTGTCCTGTGCAGGACCTCTCTCTTATAACAAAACAGCTATAGTCAAAAAGTGTGTGAGAGAGAGAGCATGTGGTCTGCAGCCCCTTTTGCAACCTCTCAGGAGCCATAGAGTAAAGGAAGCTGCATACCGGAACATACATACAGAAAACAGTAAGCAACAGGATCATAGGTAAGCATTACTGGTGTTTGGGAATCACTGCTTCCAAGGCAAGGCTTCACTTTACCCCACTGCGCATGCGCGATCTTTCATCCTCCGTTCTCGGGGGTGAGAGCGAGATTCATAAAGGGAGGAGGCGGGAGAAACGAAGCTACCGCGCATGCGTGGCGTGCCGGCGATAGGCTGGGAGCCTGGTAGTGTCCTTAGCGCCTCCCTGCTTCTCTTCTTGGCGGCGGCGCGGAGAGCAACACCAGCTATGGCAGCAGAAGGAGGCGGAGGCGGAGGAGGAAGCAGTGCCGGAGCCCTGGTAGAAGCAACGTCGACGGGCCAGTTCCAGGACCTATTGCAGCAGCCGGGCAGGTAAGTGAGGAAGAAAGTCAGTAGGTGAGCGTACTGCGCATGCGCACCCTTTCCTCTGTTGGGATAGAGCTTCCTCTCAAGTAAACATGGCGGGGTAAAACAAGGCCTTGGGGGGTAAAAGGAGGGCTGCCCTTCCCTCTTTCACTGTGGACTGAAGACAAACCCACAAAGCTATCCAAGTTGATGGCAGGGATCATTGCTGTCATTCTCAATAGGAATTCATTCCAGAGCCCAAGGCATTTTGCTGCCTGAGGCGAGGTTTTGGGTTGTTGTACGTTTTTCGGGCTATATGGCCATGTTCTAGAAGCATTCTCTTCTGATGCTTCGCCTGCATCTATGGCAAGCATCTTCAGACATGGCCGGACCTCACAACCTCTGAGGATGCTTGCCATAGATGCAGGTGAAACGTCAGGAGAGAATCCTTCTTGTAGTTTGAAACAATGGCTTCAAACTACAAGAGAGGAGATTCCATCAGAACATGAAGAAGAACTTCCTGACTGTGAGAATGTGAGAGCCGTTCAACTCTCTGCCTCGGGGTGTGGTGGAGGCTCCTTCTTTAGGAAGCTTTTAAACAGAGGCTGGATGGCCATCTGTCAGGGGTGATTTGAATGCAATATTCCTGCTTCTTGGCAGAATGGGGTTGGACTGGATGGCCCATGAGGTCTCTTCCAACTCTTTGATTCTATGATTCTATGAATGCCTCTAGAACCTTTTAAGCAGAGGGCCAGGTCACAATCCTTCAAACTATTGGAGGGCCAGATTATAATTTGAAAAAAAAAAGAACGAATAACTATGCACACTCCACACATCTTATTTGCAGTGCAAAAAATACTTTAAAACAATACAATAGTTAAAATGAAGAGCAATGTTAACAAATATAAACTTATTCGTATTTCAATGGGAAGTGTGATCCTACTTTTGGCTGATGAGATAGGATTGTTGTTGTGTACTTTCAAGTCATCTCAGACTTAGGTTGAGTGAGGGCTGGGTAAATGACCTTGGAGGGCCGTATCCAGCCCCCGGGCCTTAGTTTAAGGACCCCTGCTCTACAACATGGCACTATAGCTCGAAAAACCCACAACAATGCAGTGATTCTGGCCATGAAAGCCTTCGACAATACACTCTCTTTTGTTACACACCAACATACATACACATATATTGTAATATGTATGTATATACATGTATATATGTTCTAAGACAGTGGTTCTCAACCTGGGGTCCCCAGATGTTTTTGGCCTTCAACTCCCAGAAATCCTAACAGCTGGTAAACTGGCTGGGATTTCTGGGAATTGTAGGCCAAAACATCTGGGGACCCACAGGTTGAGAACCACTGATCAGTAAGGTAAGGTTGTCCCCTGACATTAAGTCCAGTCGGTCCAACTTTTGGGGTTGGTGCTCATTTCCATTTCTAAGCAGAAGAGCTGGTATTGTCTGTGGACACCTCCAAGGTCATGTGGCTGGCATGACTGCATGTAACGCCGTTACTGTTCCACCGGAGCTGTACCTGTTGATCTACTCACACTTGCATGTTTTCGAACTGCTAGGTTGGCAGAAGCTGAGGCTGACAGTGGGAGCTCACCCCGCTCCCAGGATTTGAACCTGCGACCTTTCAGTCAACAAGCTCAGCAGTTTAACCCACTGCGCCACCGGGGGCTCATATATATTCTATGCACAATCATCATCATCATGTATTATTTTATCCTGCTTTTCTCCCATGGGTGGGACTCAAAGCGATGTACAGTCGTTAGAAACAACAGACATTACATAATATACACATACAAACAAATTCTATTCATCCTCAACCAAATAAGGGGCCCCCTGGAGGCGCAGCGGGTTAAACTGCTGGTCTGCTGAACTTGCTGACCAAAGAGTGGTGGTTTGAATCCGGGGAGTGGGGTGAGCTCCTGCTGTTAGGCCCAGCTTCTGCCAACCTAGCAGTTCAAAAACATGCAAATGTGAGTTAATGAATAAGTACCGCTTCTGTGGGAAGGTAACAGCGCTCCATGCCGTCATGCTGGACACATGACCTAGAAGGTGTCTACGAACAACGCCGGCTCTTTGGCTTAAAAATGGAGATGAACATCACGTCCCAGAGTTGTACATGACTAGACTTAATGTCAGGGGAAGCCTCTGCCAACCTAGCAGTTCAAAAACATGCAAAAGTGAGTTAATAAGTACCGTTTATGTGGGAAGGTAACGGCACTCCAGGCAGTCATGCTGGTCACATGACCTTGGAGATGTATACGGACAATGCCGGCTCTTCATCTTAGAAATCAAGATGAGCACCATCCCCCAGAGTTGGACACGACTAGATTTAATGTCAGGGGAAACCTTTACTTTTACTAAACCAAATAAACACCTTGCCCTACATAAACCATAAATAACAAATTAGTAATGATAATACTTCATTTGTAACCGCCCCTAGCTCCCCAATGGGACTCAGGGTGGTTTCCAACAGGTAGCAAAATGGCATACATTTAATGCCAAAAACAGACAAACGAGATAAAATCAAAGACAATAGACAAAACAATTTCAGTATAAGCCTATTCACTAAACCAAAAAATAGCCTAAATTAAAAACTTAAACATGTTCTAGCACATCGCACACATTTAACATGATAACATCCCACAGGTTACAAGTTAAACTAAGAAGGCATAAAAAGCTTAAGGTAGTTTATGCTTTCTATATATACCATTAAAATTCACTGAACCTCAGTCCACTGGGGTTATCCATAAAAACAGTTGTACTAAAATATTAGGAACTCTGTGTTCATTAGGTTGCATTACCAAGTCCGAATAACATTCAGAGATGTATATTACCAGTAGTTATCTGGTCGTTGCCTATTCTAAGTAATCAAAGTTCTGGTTCCACAAAAAAGTTTTAATTTGTGAACAAAAGGCCAACAAGGAGGGAGCCGATCGCACCTCTCTAGGAAGAGAGCTCCAGAGCCACAGGACCACCACCAAAAAGGCCCTCTCATTCCCACCAGTTACACTTGTGATGGTGGTGGGACCAAGAGAAGGGTCCTTCCTGATCATCTCAGGGTTCATGTGGGAGGAGATGCTTTAGTGGACTGGGCCCTTGTAATATGTGTATCTACTCTGTATATATCTGGCTTTTAAAATTCTAATGTTTAAGTCTTATTGCCTTAATATTTAAGTCTTGTTTTTATTTGCTTAATGTGATTTTTAGTTGTGCAATGCCCAGTTTGTTGTATTATTTCATTATGATTTGATGTTGCTTTCTAATGTGTTATGATTTGATTTATGGTTTGTTTGTTTGTTGGTTATATGCCACTCTGCATACTACCATTGTGCAAGATTTATCTCGGGCTCCATCTACACTGCCATATAATCCAGTTTCTGAATCCAGATTATCTGCTTTGAACTGGATTATATGGCAGTGTGGATTCAGAAACTGGATTATATGGCAGTGTGGATCCAGCCTCAGTGATTCCCAAACTCTAGTCCTCCAGGTTTTTGGACTTTAGTTCCCAGAAGTCTCAACAGCGTTGACCAATGATCAGGGATTCTGGAAGCTGAAGTCCAAATTGCCTGGAAGATCAGATTGGGAAGCACTGAAATGCTTAAAAAATGTCATGTCAGTCTGAGAAATCCACATAAATTCCTGCCACACATGAATAAATGGGTCATTTCCCCTGTAAGCTAAAATATTGCAGGTAGAAATAGCACAGAAATTTGAGTATACTGATGTCCATAATTTATGGACTATTTTTGAGAAGGAGAGAGAAGGAGGATTCAGCCTTTTTCTTTATCTGAGGCATTATTCAACTCTGTAGAGCAGTGGTTTCCAAATGTTGGTTCTTCAGATATTTTGGACTTCAGCGCCTAGAATTCCTGACTTGGCCAAGCTTGCTTGGGCTTCATGGAGTTGAAGTCCAAAACATCTGGAGGACTACTGTAGAACATAGTGAAACACTTCTGTGCAAGAACACAGCAAGATCTTTACAATTCTGTATTGTAGTCATTAGAATTGCTTCTTTTTAAAGAAAGGAATTCTAGGTTCCCCTTTGCATGATGCTTTTGCTTTGATGCTAGCTCTCCTTGATTGATTCTTATATTTTCTCCTCCTTTCAAATCACCTATTCTTTGGCAACTGACATGCCTTCAGTGTTAATTGAGATTATTGTCATAGTTGGCCCTGAAAAGGTCTGTTTGGTTGCTTGTTTGGTTGCATACTACAAGTTGCTTCTGATGTGAGAGAATTAGCCATCTACAAAGACGTTGCCCATGCACAATGGAGGACCTTCTTACAGTGACACCAGAGGCACTCCCAAGTGGCCAGCGTCTGGTCAAAAGAAATTTAGTATAATTACAAGTTTTTAATTTTGTTTGTGAGATATACATATACACACACAAAAATACACACATGTACACACACACACATTATAACTGTATTCTCAATTCGCTTCAGACATGACAAATAAATAAATCCTGCTTGTAAAGCAGCAGATGGACAAAAATAATGGATGTAAGTAAGAAAGGAGGAGTGGAGTTTGGAGTACTTTTGTGAGAGTTTGCTTGTAGTGGAAGAAAGTCTGCTCATTTTGAGCCTAAGTGTTGAGGAGGAAGAAAGGGCAAAGTTTGAAGCTCCCCACTTATTCGAATTGTATTGGATCCAAATAGGTTGTACTTAAAGTATATCCACTTAAATGGACTTACGTTAGCAATTTATTTCAATTAATCAATGGTCAGTGTAAATACGCATGGATCCAATAATATATCTGAATGGAAAGTCTATTAATTCAGTTGTTGTGGTCCTTAAAGTCATTTCCAACTCATGGGAAATCTAAGGTGAACTGTCACAGGGCTTTCTGGTACTGAGAGTGTGTGTTTTGCCCAAGGCTATCCTTTGGATTTCCATGGCCAAGCAGGGAATTGAAATTGGTCTCCAGAATCATAGTCCAGAGTTCACACCACATAACCACATTGGCTCTGCCTTCTGATACTGCTATGGTTCTTTGGAATAAAGTTTCCTTTCCTAGGAGGTTTGCTAGATATTGTTTAAATATAAGTTGAGAGAGGACTGTACTAAGAACACTCTCGGAAGATAATACTTTAGTTGTTAGGGTTTGTTGTCTTCCCTAGGATCTGAAAATTCTTACTTTTTGGCTATTTGCCATTGTTACAGTCAGCTGGGCCCTGTTGGGATGCATTGAGAAGTTCCTTCTTACTTTGGCTTTCTTGTATTTGCAGCTTACTTGGTACCTAGTGAAAGTCAAATGATTTAATCAGATGTTTGGTCTGGTTCCCCAAGTCCCTTGAAACTCCCAGATTGAACCAAACTTGAAAGTGCATCTCATAAAATGCATACACTGTTTTGTTGGATCTGTTTCAGTGTTGCTGAATAAGGAAATCTTCATGTTAAGTGCTGACCTTGCTGAGCAGGATATTTGGCCCCAAGCACATCTTACACAGCAAAGGCGTAATTTTTATATTAAAAGAAAGGTGGAGGGAGAGAGCATCAAAGATGGTATGATATGATAAGAATCTTGCAGTTGATTTCAATAGAACAAAAAGTTAGTCTAAGCTGCTCTGCTTGGCTTGGGTTCCTTCCCAAACAACTTTCAAATATAATTAACAAGAAATATAACAACAACAAATATAATTTGTTATATAATATAAACAATATATTATATTGTTATATAATATAATATAATATAAACAACAACAAATATAATTAACAAGCAAAAGAGAAAATGCAAACAACAACGGTGTTGCTGCCTTTGAAATGGAAGGCTGGTTTGTGAGGGAGATCAAATATTATGTCTCCCCCCATGTCCTCCAGGAAAAAAAATATAAATGGCAATGAGTGTTGGTATCTAAAATTGTGGTCACAACTTTTATAATTTTATATCTTTAGTCTGTATTTGGAATTAGAGAAGTAAGACTCCAGTATCATCTCTTGAATAGACATGCAAAACAATATTGTGGGAGATTAATTAATTAATTAATTAATTAATCGTGTCAGAAGTGAATTGAGGATACAGTTATAATGTACAGGGTTAGTCAAAATGAATAGGCCAATAAGAAAATTAATTTTAGACGAATGTATGTTTATTGTAACCAAACTACAGCTACGTAGCGACAGATAAACTATCAAAGTTTTGTCTCACCTTCAGAGATGTTCGATATGGGCGCCCCGTGTGACACGGCAGATGTCCAAGCGATAGTCCAGTTCATTCCACATCCGTTGCAGCACATCCGACGTAATGGCATCGAATGCAGCAACGTCTGGGAAGGTGTTCGTTGAGGCCCTAACCCTAACCCTAACCCTATCCCTAACCCTATCCCTAACCCTTGAAATTCTCGCTGGACCGTAATTACTGACATTGTTTTAGCAAATGTCATCACACAAAACGCCTTCTCTTTGCTTGATTCCGCCATTTTGAAAACAGCGACCCCTAGCGACGCCTAGCGGCATTAACGTACATGTGTGTTGCTCAAAAAAAACTTTGATAGTTTATCTTTCGCTACGTAGCTGTGGTTTGGTTACAGTAAACATACATTCGTCTAAAATTAATTTTCTTATTGGCTTATTCATTTTGACTAAGCCTGTATTTAAAAAAGAACACAAAGTTAAAAACTTGGCTTTATGCTAGATTTCCTTTGACCAGAAGCTGGCCAATTGGAGTGCCTTTGGTGTCACTGTGAGAAGTTACTCCATTGTGAAGTTCTTCAGACTGCATTGTAGTAAGTGTTCTGTGGTTTGCTCTTCTCCACACTTGCATATTGTGGACTCCACTTTGTAGCTCCATTTCTAAAGATTAGCTCTGCATCTCGTGGTGCCAGAGTGCAGTCTGTTCAGTGCCTTCCAAGTCGCCCAGTCTTCTGTGTGCCCAGGGGGGAGTTTCTCATTTGGTATCAGCCATTGATTGAGGTTCTGGGTTTGAGCCTGCCACTTTTGGACTCTTGCTTGCTGAGGTGTTCCTGCGAGTGTGGAGATAGAGTAGATAGACATATTTAACTTACAGTTTCTGCCGTGGCTACATACATAGGCACATCCTGGGTTGAAAGTCTTTGTGAGTGTTTTTCAAATGAGATACATCTCTCACTTTGTACCTCCTGATCCTTTGACTGTTCTGATTTTGTGTTGAAGGCATTGCATGGGTGTGTGTGTGTCAGGATTTGCTTTTATATTTAATTGAAACACTGGTCCATTAAGCCCTCTAGTGTATGTTTAGGCAAAGAATGACTCCAATGTTCTTGGTTAGAAAAATATCCTATTCCTAAAACCATATAGTTGCTTTTATTTTATAAGGATTTGTTTTTCTCCTTCTGTTTTTGTCACAGATTTCTAGTGGTGGTTCATTTCTGGGCCCCATGGGCTCCTCAGTGTGTTCAAATGAATACTGTCATGGCAGAACTAGCAAAGGAGCATCCACGAGTTACTTTTGTAAAGGTAAGTTGAACTGAAAGAATGTAATGCTTTTCTATTCAAATCTGATTGTTGGTTGTATACACATGGAAGAAATTTAGAAATATCACTGTTTAACTCAAATTGTTCAAACCCTTGAACCTGAGCAATGTGGCTCTTTTCAAACTTTTGCAGTTACAGCCTTATCCTCTCTCCTTGGTAATGTTATATGTTAATATGATTTAGTGAAGGTGAATGTCTTCCATTTAAAACAAAATGAAATAAAAATATTAGTTGGTGACAATGTGGAGGTGAAAGAATGTTCAACAGGCCAATAATTGTGTTTCCATGGATGTCTTCTATTGAAGTCAGTGGGAGGTGATCTCCTCTGACAAGTGAGTGTGTATGGGGCATTTTCTGAAAGCTTTGTGTGGTTGTCATAGCGTATTTCTAATACTTGCCTTTATAAAAATGCCTTTTTGGATGGAGAAAGGTAAGAATGTGCCTGCCTGTCCTGCAGTCCATAATCCAGCTTCATGCTAGGTGAAAAAAAGAGTGAATCTGTGCTGTAAAATGGACTGTAGAGCTGGTCTGGATGATGGGGAGAGCAGAAAGCACCAAGATATGTAGAGGAAATCGGAAACCTCTCCTTTTCCAGCTGTGTGTTTAGATTGCCCTAGAAAATGGACAGGAATGGTTATGAGAGAAATAGTAATTATTGTAGTCTTGAACAGGGGTTTCGTGGAAATAGGGACTCTGAGATAGTATTCCAAATACTGACTTGAAATAATCATCTGCAATTTTGATTGCCAAGCATCTATTAGCATTTTAATAGCTTTCTACATTCCTTTCCTTTTAGTTGGTTGACCTCTCAACTCCAAAGTACTTTCCACTGCCTTTTCAGTATGTTGCGCATTTCTTAATTTGGGTAAATCCTGATCTTTTTATCCAAGGGATTTGAGATTAAGACAGTAATAATGCTCTTTTAAAAGTTCTTTTCTATTTACTCAATTTGATGTAATGACGCTGCTGGTTAGGCAAAGATCTTTTCCTTATTTCTTATTTAAGGTGGTATATTTGGCTGTTAGAGACTGATATATCTTTTGATTTACATAATTATGTGCAGTAGCTGCCTTTATATAACATTTTGGGGGTTAGTATTTGTGTAATAATATTTACATATTTTGCTAACAGAACTATAGTGTGCAAAAAACAGGCAAATGTGCTTAAATGTGCCATGTTATCATTAGTCACTTTCAGTTCCTAGGAGAAGAAAGACACGATAGAATTGGAGTTGATGATAATGATAACAATAGTATCATCAACCGCTACAATAAAATGCTGTTCATTTTAAATATAGTTTTGAACTCCCTGTAAACAGATAAATAAGCTTGCGTTGAGTGAGCTGTGAAGTATGCTTTGATCTTAGTGAGAATTCTATTGTATTTGAGGTTGGGACTTCACATAAGCATATTATATAATCAGCCCTCCAGCTTTGTGGGAGTTAGAGGCACAGGACCTATATGAACATGAAAAACTGTAAATAAAAATGACTATTTTTTACCTGGAATTTCTGGTTCCTCCATGATTTTATGGTCATTTTCTAGAGGAAGCTGATCCCAAAATTGCATTGAAGAACCTAGAGATTACTGGAGCACCTAGTGGCACAATGGGTTTAACTCTTGTGCCGACAAGACTGCTGACCAAAAGGGTAGTGGTTTAAATCCAGGGAGCAGGGTGAGCTCCCATCTGTGTGCTCCAGCTTCTCATGCAGGGACATGAGAGAAGCTTCCCATAGGATGGTAAAACATCCGGGCGTCCCGTGGGCAAGGTCCTTGCAGATGGCTAATTTTCTCAAACCAGGAGTGGCTTGCAGTTTCTCAAGTCGCTTCTGACCCACACATACACAAACCTAGAGAAGATCAACTGTCTAGATCAGGGGTCCTCAAACTAAGGCCCGGGGCCCGAATGTGGCCCTCCAAGGTAATTTACCCGGCCCTCGCTCAGGGTCAACCTAAGTCTGAAACTACTTGAAAGCACACAACAACAACAACAACAAGCTTATCTCATCAGCCAAAAGCAGGCCCACACTTCCCACTGAAATACTAATAATTTTATATTTGTTAAAATTGTTCTTCATTTTAATTAGTGTATTGTTTTAAAGTGTTTTTTTTTGCACTATAAATAAGGTATGTGCAGTGTGAATAGGAATTCATTCATGATTTTTCCAATTATAATCCGGCCCTCCAACAATTTTGGGGACTATGACCTGGCCCTCTGTTTAAAAAGTTTGAGGACCCCTGGTCTAGATATAAGATTTTAATTAAATTCGTAAATAATCAAATCCACAAATGTTAAACTCGCAAATGTAATGGGCTGACTATAGTTCTTGACATGCCAGTGGAAATCTCAGTGTCCTCAATTAACAACCAAATGTATGGGAATATCCCACTTATCTGATGGCAGAAGGACTGGGGTGCAGTCAGAAAGTAGGTTGAAAATGATATTGCATCTTAAACATGCATTTAGGAAAACAAACATAACATAATTTTGAATGTATTAGAAAACTAAAAGAACTGTTGCACAGATTCAAAAGTGATCTATGGAAATTGCATTGGGGTTGTTTTTTTTTGTCTCAGTAGGTTATTTTTACTGTGATAGCAATATTTTAGTGGCGAAAAGCAGTACATTTATTGGAACATTTTTTATATTCTTTGTTTATGTAGAAACCTGAGAAGCTTCTTAGACATTTGTTCATTTAGTTGGAATTCTCAATTTTAACTGAAAATGTTTTTCTAGACAGGATTTCTTGCCTTTTACTTGCCTCGAAATCATTGGTATTCCTTGGTGGCCTTTCATCTAAGAATATCTGTAACTGAGTGCAGTGTTTTAGTCAAACAGTTTTGGTCTTGATGGATGGTATACAGCAGAGTTAATTTTATAATACTACTGTTACTTGTAGTTGAGTAATATGACATTGGGTTACTATCAATAACTGTTAGCTACAGTGGTAAAGTTGTATTATCCTGTGAGTCTATAACTGTATTGCCTGAAGTCAAATTAATTATAAAATCCATCTGTTTGCATACTAATGGCAGCGATTAACAGAAAATTGATGGGGTTTTTGAATGAATTATGATGAGGATAGAAAAAACATGATCCTGCAGCATCAGTTATGCTAAAATGAATGATAACTTGGAAGGAGAAAAAGATTGCTGATTGGCCTCATTTGCCTTATAGATATTGCTGGATAGCATCACACAGTCTTCTGTGCCATCTTGCAGTGGTCTGGTTTTCTTTACAAGCTGTTCTTGTAGTGAGAGGAATTACCATTTAAAAATACATTAAACAGTATTAATAATACATAGATATGCAAAACACTTAATCATGCCACAATCCATCTTTAAATGGGGCAAATGAGATGCTGAAGAAAGCCTGCCAGAATGCAAAATAATAGCTAAAAGTTTGCCATTTTGTCACAGAGAATTTTCAAATACTGATCCCTGAATGCATACTAAAGTGCCTGAATTATATGTTAGGGAAGGACCTCATGAGATCCTTTAAATTTTGCATTTGGCAACTCTATGGTTGTCTATGTATTGTTGTACTGCAGTCACAGCAGCCTGATCCACTACCCTTAATAATAGAGATTGATGGAAGTTGCTATTCAGCAGTACCTGGAGGGCCACACTACTCCCTTTCCTTGTTTTAATCCTTAGGTTAGCTTTCCTGATGGTGTTAAGGTTTGTTGAAGCTGGATCTAGTGAATTCATAAATATAGAAACTGGTAGGGGTCAAGCAAAACAGAGCAAGAAATTCTTGAATGTATAAATGTACATATTTTTATTTAAAGTTTTCAAGTACATTAAAAGTTATCCATAGTAAATGAGAAGAAACGAAAGGAAGGAAAAAAGAATACAGTAACAACAAAATGAAGAAAACTTACAGTGATTTCTGGCTTACTTTACAGCGATTATTGGTCTTAAAATATGAAAACTAACTTCTTCAGCTAATTGAAACATATACTTCTTCCTCAAATTCATATTTTGTTGTTTGCTGTTGTGTGCCTTCAAGATTGTTACTGACTCATAGCGACCCAAAGGCAAACCTATCACTGAGTATCCTTGGCACGATTTGTTAAAAATGGTTTGCCACTGCTTTCCCCTGAGAAAATGTGACTAGAACTAGGTCACCCAGTGGATTTCGTGGTCAAGTGGGGAGTTGTAATCCAATGCTGAAACCACTGTGCAGCACTAGCTCTCGATTCAAACCTACTAATTAACAAAATCTAAGTTAGCCTTGGACTCTGGACCACAGAAAAATCAAACCAGTCCATATTCCAGGAAATAATCCCTGACTGCTCACTGAAGGGAAGGATATTAGAGAGAAAGATGAAATGCTTTGGCCGCATAATGAGAAGACAGGAAAGCTTGGAGAAGATAATGAGGCTGGGGAAAATGGAAGGAAAAAAGGAAGATGAGCCGACCAAGGGCAAGATGGATGGATGGTATCCTTGAAGTGACTGGCTTGACCTTGAGGGAGCTGGATGGGGGGTCTATGCAGGCTGGTCCATGAGGTCATAAAGTTGGAAGCACCTGAATGAATAAACAACAAGAAGTTAGCATATAATTTTCTTTTGTCTGCAAAAATACAACCAAGGGCTTGCAATCTTTTTAAAATGTCAACAATAATTGTTCTCCTGTCAAAGAGGTTAATATGTCCATTCCACTTAAATCATTCCGTTTTAATATCTAATCCAGTTTTTTTTTTGGTATTAGTTTACTCTTCCATTTTGTACATATAATATTCATAATGCTCTGGTCATATACCATAATTATCCATATTTCCTTTCTATCCATCAATCTCAATAGAAATGCCTGCACATGTTGTTCGCATTTCCAACATAAAATTTAAAACAACTTTATACATTCTGGACAATTTTTCTGGAGTTATATACCATTCATTGTATAAAATATCTCTTAAAGATAACACAAAGTACCTTTCAACCCCTTTGACATCTTCCCCTACTTTTTTTTATCTGCATGTTATATCCAAAATTAAGAGCCTGTTTAATCATGAAATTACTAACTGGTTTCATATCAAAAAGGGGTAACAATTAAATATGCCACATTTTAGCATTATCTGCGTTTTGCTGGGCCAAATATAGTTTATATCTGAAGAAATGTTAGGTATTAAAGCTTTTTAAAAAACACTTATAAACTTAAAAAAAGAGTGCTTTTATAAACACTTATAAACTGGACTTGTTTTTTTTCAATTATTCTGGGGATATGATTGTTTCTAACACCATTGTGATGACATCTTCTGAATATTCTGTTGGTGATATCACCAATGTTTGCATAATATTTTCTGTATTGATATTATACTGTATATTGAGTGTCAAGAGAAAGTTGCCAGTGCGATATATTTCTGCTAAAACCTTTTCCACTTTAGTATCTTGTAGTTTTTGTTATTATGTGTGTGCATCCCTATATTTAATGTTCAAACAGTACATTTTACTTTTTACCACTTGAAAACCAAAATGTTTATCTGGTTGACTCAGTTCAATTTAAAACATCTCTTCTGGATGTTGACAACTCAAAAGAAGTGAATTCTAAACCATAGCTATACAAGCAAATATGATTTACATTAACACAGTTATCTCTACTGGTATGCCTATGCTTTAGAATTCACAACATTTTTGGGAGTTGTATACCTATTTGGGAGCACCCGCCAAATTTATCCAGGGCTTCAACATTCATGTTACTCACCAAAACATGGAGTATTCTCTGCAGCAAGATCAACACACATACACATACAGTAGCTACAGAAATTAAGTAATCCTAGAATCGATATGTTAAAACATCAGGCTACTTCCCCCAACCTCTACCAAGTATTCAGACTTGTTATTGCTCATGTACAAGTATGAAGGCGTATTTCAGGTCTCCCTTTTGTGTTATTTTAAATGAAACATATTCACATTTTTGTATTTTCATATTTGATGGCTTGTTTGTGTTTGTGGATCAGTTATATACTACCAGTCCTGCAGGAGTTAAAAACTAAAATTTCACAGGCATCAATAGTTTATTGAAGAAATACTCCTTTTTTGCTTCATAATTTGCAGAAGGCTGCAAATGTCAGTCATGATGTACTGCCTCTTGAAATTAGTCAATAGAGCAAACAGCAAGAATTGCTGTGGGCAGAAAATAAGCACTGTAATCATGACATAACTGGGGTCAGTGATTTATGGATTTCAATATAGTAGTAGCTGCATATGATTGAAAATTTACTAGGTCACTAGTGCACCAAGAATTTTATTCACAGCCTCCAGGCATCTTTTGAAATGTGCAACAAAATAAAAACCTCTGAACCTGTTTTGACACTGCAGGCTCAGTGGATGACAGGCCTGCCCTGTGAGTTTCATTTAAATGCAAATGTGTCACAAACTTTTGCACTGAAATCCTTTTTAAACATTTAACATAACTAAAAGAACACTGTAGACAGGATCACTGAGCATATTCCAAACCATGAAAATAAAACCATATTTCATGAACTGCTCTGTGTTTGTGTTTTTAAAGCTGGAAGCTGAGGCAGTTCCAGAAGTATCTGAAAAATATGAAATTACTTCTGTTCCAACATTCTTGTTTTTTAAGGTAAGGTATTTTAATTAGATTTGTTGCATGGATGTTTGCAAGGATAAATTCAATTGTCTCATTACTGGTGAAATAGTTGCTTTTTTTGGGGGGGGGGCGGGATGAATAATATTAGGTGAACATAAAACTACAGTATAACTTATCTAGGACAGATAGAGAAATGTATTCATAATATCAGATTGTTCTTAAACTGAATTTGATCAGTTCACAATTGAATAGCAAGTTTGTATGAAAATGTGAATTCTATTTCTTGTGCTGGTCTATGACTGAAATAAATGATTTGATTTGATTTGACAATTGAATAGTGACATGGAAATTATTATAGATTGGCTCATAAGTTTTTTGTGGTGATTTGTCTGAAATAACATTTGCAGGTCTGCATTTTATAGCAAATTTTAACAATTCAATTATTACACCATTCTACTTGCTGTGTGTGTATTGTCTTCTCTTTTGCTCATCCAATTGAAACAGTTGAAACATTAAGTTGATTTTTCCTGTGGTTGCTATTCCAACAATACCATGTTTGTATGTGGTGAAGAGATGTTCCAGGTTCTGGTGCGTATTCTTGTGGAGTTCATAATGTTTACCTAGATCACTTTCCTCTGTTGGCAGAATTCTCAAAAAATTGACCAATTAGATGGTGCTCATGCACCAGAACTGACCAAAAAAGTCCAGCGCCATGCATCTAACGTTACTGTCCCAGCTAGTGCCAATGACACTTCTAAAGAGGACCTCAATGCCCGACTAAAGAAGTTGATCAATGCTGCACCTTGCATGCTGTTTATGAAGGGAACACCTCAGGAACCACGTTGTGGTAAGACTTGTTTTGGATTACTGTTTAATGCAGCAAAAAATAAAGGCCCCAGGAGAAATTTTATATCTTATGCTTTTAAGTTTTAAGTTTTGATCCTTCAGTTGGCCCAAATGGAGCCTTGTCTTAGGCTCCAATGTATAAATAGATGCCTTTGAAAATTAATGCCTTCCGACCTCAGATATTGTTGAATTTTCAGTCCCAAAACTCACAGCTAGCATGAGGCGACTCTGCCCAAAAATGTCCAGCTGTTCATACTGATAGGTGGAAAAAAGAAAACTCAGCCTATCTCAGGATGCTTTCCTTCCATTGTTTTTCAACCTTCCAGGTGTTGTATGCTTCTCAAGGGGAATACAGTGCCATGTAGTTTGCTGCTGAGCTAGAATAACGGAATTGTTGTAGAGTGAATCCAATAAGAAACAATGGCTAAGGATATATTTTGGCTTCTGGCAGAACTATCAGTTCATTAGCAGTTTGTTTACAGAACCCTTATATAGCATTTCATATTGGCTTCTAGTTACCATCCATTGGTAACAAACAAACAATGGCTTTCCATCAGTGAACTTAGTAAGTTGATAATTTCATTAGAGGATACAGGATAACCAAGGTGACCCAAAAGCTTGGAATGGGTGAATTAGTTAAGTGCCTTTACTTTCATTTTTTTTTCTTTTTCTTTTTGGAAATCTTTGTAATTAATTGGCTACATCATGATTTGTCTTAAGTGAATGCACTATGCTGAGTGAATGCTCTGAAGGTGTGCACATGAATCAGGTTCATTGTACAAGCTCGGTTGAGTAAGCAAGATAAGAGAGGTCATGTGTTGGAATGAAAACTGCTGGGGGATCTCTGGGAACTATATATCCAGCTGTCACTGTGCTAGCATCATACTAGGATTTTCACGTTGGTGAAGTCAGCACAAGGATGACATCTAGTCTACTTTTTTGTTACACAAGCAGCCGTAAAGTCATTGTGTAACTGCTTTGTGTAGCTGCTTGCTTGAAGTGCAGCCCTGCACAACTCCACAGTCAGTGATTCTCACTCTGCTGGCATTAAGTTGGATGTTGCCTGGGTGATTTACTGTAGATGTGCATTGCTTTATTGCACATACTGTTGTCTAACACAGAATTACTAAAAAGGTTGCCAATTGTCAATTAAGGCTGTTATTCTTGGACTTAATATAGCTTCTGAGTCACAGTTTTGCACCAGGTTCCTTCTAGAACAGTGGTTCTCAACCTATTAGTCTCCAGATGTTTTGGCCTTCAGCTCTCAGAAATCCTAACAGCCAGTAAACTGATTGGGATTTCTGGGAGTTGTAGACCAAAATACCCAGGGACCCACAGGTTGAGAACCAGGGTTCTAGGGGGAGACATTAGATCCTGCAAACCTAACAGTTGCCCTTTTTAATAGTGGAAGGAACTGTGTAGTGATGTCTTCCACATATGACTCTCCAGAGCAGAAATTAATAAGTTGATGGGGAAGGATCGTGTCTCCATTGAGGCAGTGCAGTTTTCTATTTCAGTTGTCTTTTAAGGGCAATTGCTAGTCATAATAGGTGAATGGCAAGATACACAGCTAGTGTGGTCTTCATGTCACTGATGTAGATGGATCATAATGAATACAGAGAATAGTAAGGTTGCAGTATATCTTACTGCCCGGCCATCATATCTGTTGCTGCAAATAGTGCTTGGCTCATTGAAAATGAACCACAGAAATAAATAACTGTCGGATGATTTTTATGTGGCTATGGGTTCATCAGGCACACATATTTTCTATTGTTCTGCATCACCTCAGATTCCATAGATAGAAATAGCAAAACTCCCAGTTGTTTGGTCCTTATTTTTCACAGGCTACTGAATGGGCCTCTTGAAAGGTGGTACTCAAGGCAGCTTGCCACCTTAGAGGGTTAACTGGGTCCTTGGAGCAACTTGAAGCCGTGCAGATTTGAATACCATCCCTCCCTGGCCGGGACTGATAGGACTTGCAGCCCAGTTGTGTTGTGAGACCTAACATTGCCCATCTTGTTTTGGGGAAGGAAGTGGCCCTTACAATCAGTGGCCTTCACTATCCTCTTTCTCTTAGGCCTTCTAGCAGAGCTGAGTCTGCTTGGCATATCTGTGTTGCAAATCAGCTTTGCGCCCAGAGAGGTCAGCTGGGAGTTTCTGCTCAGTGCTGCTTGTGCAGAAGAAGTTCCTGATGGACGGTATCCAGGCTAATTTTCATACTAATAATAGCAGATTGTCAATTGTAACAGAGTGTAATTGGATCTTGGTATGGAATCAGAAACCCTTGTTATGTCCCATATTCCGCCACTTCCTATGGAAAGCCAATTCATAATAATGTTAAATGAGGTCTATCCCCTAGGCTCCGTGTTCGCAGGCTTGTTGCTTGCTTACATCATTAGTATTATAATTGTACTTAGCTTTCTCTCACTGTGCAGCTAGCATCCACATTACTCTTAGCAGGGCCTCTATGTTCTCATATGTGCACTTCAGTGGTGCTTTCATTAGCTTTTGTATTGCTCAGATGGTATTTGTTCAAAAAGTCAGCCTAAATCTTTTTGTTATGGGAATAAAGCAGTGTTGGCACTTTATCCCTAAGCATAACATTTCCCGTTTGCTGCTTTAACCCTTAAAAATGAAACACCACCAATCAATCTTTTTCGTCTGCATGTAGTTGCCCACAGCTAAAATAAAGTGTGTATGCTCTTGTTCTCTCTCTCGCAGCCTCTTACAGTAGAAATGAGTTAATATATTGGCAGCAGAATAACCATCAGCAATCAGCCCGTAGCTGTTTACTAATGAACTCCCAGATGAATGGGAGGAGGAGGGAAAAAAATCCAGGATTCTTGTTTCACTCGAGGCTGTACAAGAACTTAATGCTTCAGTTGTGGGAAGAAAAGCAACTTGGATGCCATATAAATAAATGCTATTTGCTCGTGGCTCAAAATGCAGATCATGGAGACCTCAAGCTACAGTACAAATCAAAAGTAATGGGTGAATTTGCCAGACAGAAATCATGTAACACTTCTTTTGTGTGTACACTTGTTAAACTTTTAAAATCTGTCACCATGAATCACTTTTGTCGAACCTTTTGAAGATGGGCTGAGATTCCGCCAATATTCTCAGATGTGTGTGTGTTTTCATGCACATTAAGCACTCTCCTTCTCCTTCTCCCCTTATGAAAGGCTTCTATACTTTTTTTAATTTTGAAGAGAGAATTGTGAGATTGTAGAACAGTGGCAGGCTGTAGGGGTGAGTTAGAAGGGTCCCACAGCCCACTACCAGGCCACATTGGTGTGCCAGACAGTATGTCATATTATTTTTGGTTTTATTTTCTATCCAAAGCTAGCCATTTTGGGTTTATGTGTTGTGCATTAGGGGGCAAAAGCTGCCAGGCTGCCATAGGCATTGTTGTTAACTAGGCACAGTAGTTGATGGTGCATGTAGTCCTCGAGATACATTTCCTCTTCCTTTGTGGTAGAGAACAATGTATTGCTATTTAAACTCATATTGCACTGACATGCTTGCATTATTTTAATTTAGATAATATCTTAAATTTGCACAGTTGTCCTGTATGATCAGCCTAATTATAATATGTTTTTATCTTCCCTACCCAATCCCACCTCCTTCTAGGCTTCAGCAGACAAATTATAGAAATTCTTAACAAACACAATGTTGTATTTAGCAGCTTTGATATATTTTCTGATGAAGAAGTACGTCAAGGATTGAAAACATACTCCAATTGGCCCACCTATCCACAGTTATATGTTGCCGGAGAACTTATAGGTGGCTTGGATATTGTCAAGGTGAGAGAAAAGATTTGTGTGCTTTTAATTTATATGTATATACACACAGACACACACAGACACACACAAGCTTGAGGTACCCAGCATTGTCCGGATTTTTTGAAAATGTTGATTTGTAATTATACAAAATGCATAGGGTTGTGGGTGAACAACAACTCCCCTCATGTCAGGTTAACCACGAGAAGGTCCATCAGTACTTTAAAGTTTGTTATGTTGGGCAAGTTTGTTCTAGATGCATAATTGGTGTGCTCTCTGATAGTAGGATAAACTACAACTCCCACTATGGTGAGTCAGTCTCCCTTCAGTAGATTGAGTTAGTCATGGGGGTTCTGTGTGCCAAGTTTGGTCCAGATCAATCAGTGCTTGGGTTTGCAGTGCTCTCTGGATGTAGGTGAACTACAGCTCCCCCAAATCAAGGCGAATTTTCCCCAAAGACCTCTAGTATTATTTTCTGGTCATGGTGGCTCAGGTGTGTCAAGTTTTGTCCAATTCCATCCATGGTGGAGTTTAGAGTACTCATTAATGGCAGGTGAACTATAAATCCCAGTACCTACAACTCCAAAATGTCCAGGCCAATTCCCCTCAAAATCCACCAGTATTCAAATATGGGCATATCGGGTATGCATGCCGAGTTTGATTCAAATCCATCATTGTTTGGATTCATAGTGCACTCTGGATATAGGTGAACTACAACTCCTCTAAATCCCTCCCAATCCCTCCATTTTTTTTTCTTGGTCATGTGGGTTCTGTGTTCTAAGTTAGTTCCAGGTCCATTGTTGGTGGAGTTCAGAATGCTCTCAGATTGCAGGTGAACTATACATCCCAGTACCTACAACTCCTATACATCATGGTGAATTCTCCCCAAACCTCTCTATGTTCAGTTGCAGATCAATTCCTCTGTGTGCAATAGAAAAGAATAGGAAAGGGGTAAGGGAGAGGCAGTGGGCGGGGTCCTACAAATTACTCACAGACCAATTGTGAGAGTAAGAAACTTGGAGATGTCTGTGGTAGAGGAAACACATAAAATGTAGGATGAAATTGTTTCCTATGAAAGCCTTCACTTAGGTGGTGGCAGTATAGTGTTTTGGGGAGGACATTGGCAGGGCTCTTGGACATGTTCATGGCGCTCACTATAACCTGCAATGTCATTGGAGGGAGGGCAATGGTGTCTTCTGCATAGTGGGAACTATAGCTGTTTGTGGAGACAGGAGCTTGTCCGTGTAAGTGAATATCCTAGCCACATACACACACACATATATATTCAGTTTTATTATTGTGTGTGTATGTGTGTGTATATATATATATATATATGAATGATACTTTCCTAATGAATACAAAATGATTATATTTCCAGGAGCTTGAGGCTTCTGGAGAACTGAATACAGTCTGCCCCAAGGCACACAAATTAGAGGACAGGTATGGTACATCGTGTTTTTTTTTGTCTAGCACAGAGTGAAAAATTGTATCTTGTTCCGTACTGAATTATATATTTTGTTTCAATATTAAAAACGTTTGCTCTTTGGTTTCATATATTGCTAAAAAGTATTTTTGACTTACGTTCTGTTATAAACTCTCTCTTATCCATATTTTCTCTTTTTCTGCTGTAGGCTTAAAGACCTGATAAACAAAGCCTCTGTGATGTTATTTATGAAAGGAAATAAACAGGTGAGAGTCTTAGATGTGTTTTATTTGTTTATCGTGTAGATTTAGAAACTGACAGATGGTAGATCTCTTGCTTTGTTATTTGTTTATTTAAAATTTTTATATATTACCCTTCAACAAAGTTTCCATGGCTGTTTATAAAAAGAGAATGAATAAGATAGAAGGAGTTATATTCAAGGTCTGCCTTCTATGATGGAACAGACCTCTTGGAAGAAGTTGCATCTGACTTAGTTGAAAAGGTGAGATATTTTCTGTTCTGAAGCTTACATTAATCAAACAGTCTCCCGATTTAACTCTCTGAAGCATTTTCAGGCAGTTGGTGGTTCTGCCATGGAAAGTAGAGGAGGCTGAGTTTTATATTGTCATTAGAAGGAGAGGATGCAAAACAGGATTCAAAAAGAGGTTTCAGAACCTTTTTTGGGGGGATGTTGGGCAGAATTGTCCTGAAATGTGTGCATTTACACTTAGAAGGCATGAAATCTTCTTGGGGTTTTCCACCAGCGTAACCGGGGAGTGAGGGATGGGTTATTCCAGCAGATCTACTTCTCCCAGTTTACATAAGGAGATATCCAGTATTTCTTCACACAATAGTAAAGAAGAGGCCCAGTGGCATGCAGCCATTGGAAGGAGATGATGGAAAATGTGTTGTCAAAGGTGTTCATGGTTGGAATCACTGGGTTGCTGTGAGTTCTCTGGGCTGTATAGCCCCTATGATGGCCCCCATCGCCGAGATTAAGATCATCCGAAGAGGTCCTGCTCTCCTTCCTGCCATTGTCACAGGCACGATTGGTGGGGGCGAGAGAAAGGGCCTTCTCGGTGATTGTCCCCCAGCTATGGAACTCTCTTCCTGGTGAAATTAGATCAGCCCCCCTCTCCTGTCCTTCAGAAGGATGGTAAAAACTTGGCTGTGGAACCAAGCTTTCAGGACAGTGCAATAAAGCAGCAATTGGAAACCTTTCCAGGCCAATTAGATTCTATGCAGATGATCGAGATGGTTTTAAACACTGCATTTTAATGTTGAGACAAAGGTTTTTAATGTTTATGTATGCATATAATTTATTCATGTCCCAGCATTGAATGTTTGCCGTTTATATGTTGTGCTCCGCTGTGAGTCCCCTTCGGGGTGAGAAGAGCGGAATATAAAGGTTTTAAATAAAATAAATAAATAATATTTCAGAAGCATTCTCTCCTGAAGTTTCCCCCACGTTATGGAGGAAGATATTAGTCCACAACTAGCATAGCTTGGTTCATAAATGAACTTTCTGCGTGGGGATACATAACCAAATGCCCCAGTACCATGAATTAATTATGTCATCTTTAAGGTTCTCCCTCAAGGATCTCTTGCCATTTTATCTCTCTCTCACTCGCCAACCCAGAAAACTGCCTTCTTATTTGCATACAAATATTGTATCCTTTAGCTAAGATGAGAGAGAAGCAGCTTAACAAGAGATACCTGATTTCTGGGACATTCTGCCCCAAAAGGTCTTTTTAGTGTCAACACAGATATCTTTTCACCTCTAGGCAAAGAGATGTTTATACCAGCAACTATTTTAGTGTCTGATTGTACTGTTCATTGATTGACTCCAGATTTGGAAACTTTCCATCATCTGGGTTGCTGTGAGTTTTCCCGTCTGTATGGCCATGTTCCATAATCGATCACCTTGATTAGCATTGAATAGCCTTGCAGCTTCAAGGCTTGTTTGTTTTCTGCCTGGGAGAATCCTTTGTTGGGAGGTGATTAGCTGGCTCTGATTGTTTCTTGTCTGGAATTCCCCTGTTTTTGAGTGTTGTTCTTTCTTTACTGTCCTGATTTTAGAGTTTTTTTAAAAAAAAATATTGATAGCCAAAATTTGTTCATTTTCATAATTTCCTCCTTTCTGTTGAAATTGCCCATGCCTAATCAAGACGATCAATTGCAGCATTCACACTTTCCTCAAACAGACAAGAGTTCTTTCTCTCACCCCGGACATTCCACAGATATATAAACCCCACTTGCATTGTTTCCAACAAACCTCACAACCTCTGAGGATGCCTGCTATAGATGTGGGTGAAACATCAGGAGAGAATGCTTCTGGAACATGGCCATACAGTCTGGAAAATTCACAGCAACCCAGATGATGGAAAGTTTCCAAATCTGGAGCCAATCAATGAACATTATAGCACAGTACAATCAGACACTAAAATGCCTGCTGATATAAAGATCTTTTTGTCTAGAGCTGAAAAGATATCTGTGTTGACACTAAAAAGACCTTTTGGGGCAGAATGTCCCAGAAATTAGGTATCTCTTGTTCTGTTGTCTCTCTCACACCTTAGCTAAAACATACAATATTTTTATGCGAGAGAGAGAGATTAAATGGCAAGAGATCCTTGAGGGAGAACCTCTGAAAATGACATAATTAATTCATGGTATTGGGGCATGTGGTTATGTACCCCCACACAGAAAGTTCATTTGTGAACCAATCTATGCTAGTTGTAGACTGACAACTTCTACCATAATGTTGACAGCTGGGGAGAAGTGTGTTGATGCTTATATAAAATTAATATAGACTGCTGCAGCAAAATCTTATTCAAGTGGCTCTTGAATGCAAAGCAGATGCAGATCAAATGCATTGAACTTCTTCGGTTTCTGATGGGGTAGGGACAGAAGGAAAATCTCAAATTGTGTTCACAGTGTATATGGGTTCACCATATGTTGATCTCCCCTGTACACTTTACTGAATTGTTTTTCCTTTTCCTATTGTAGACGGCAAAGTGTGGGTTCAGCAAGCAAATTATAGAAATTCTAAACAATAGTGGGTATGTATTTTTTCTGTCTTAAGCACATCTGTTCTTCTGAAATGATAACGTATTTGCTCACTGCACAACTTAATTAATCCATCCAGTTTCTCCATGGCTTTTCAATCCCTGTAACACTTTTTCCGATTCCATCTGTTTTCCACCTGTTCTTTTCCCTTTTTGGTCTTTTTATCAAGGTTGGTCTCTACTGTGGGTTTTTGTTTTTCTGAACCTTATTAGTAATTGTCGAATACAATGGAATTTTATTTCCATGGGGCTGTCTATTTGCAACATGATAAATATAGTCAATGTTGTTTCTTCAACAAACAGAGCATGGGGTAGAGTTTGGAAAAGTTACTTTTTTAAAAAAGAAAAAGAGAAATGGCTCCCAGAACTCTCGGCCAATATAGTTCTACAGGGAGCTGGATACTATAATTGAAAAAAGTAGCACCTCCTCACTCTTGAATGGATATTGTAGAATCATAGAATCATAAAGTTGGAAGAGACCTCATGGGCCATCCAGTCCAACCCCCTGCAAAGAAGCAGGAAAATTGCCTTCAAAGCACCCCCGACAGATGGCCATCCAGCCTCTGTTTAAAAGCTTCCAAAGAAGGAGCCTCTACCACACTCCGGGGGCAGAGAGTTTCACTGCTGAACAGCTCTCACAGTCAGGAAGTTCTTCCTAATGTTCAGATGGAATCTCCTTTCTTGTAGTTTGAAGCCATTGTTCCATTGTGTCCTAGTCTCCAGGGCAGCAGAAAACAAGTTTGCTCCTTCCTCCTTATGACTTCCTCTCACATATTTATACGTGGCTATCATGTCTCCTCTCAGCCTTTTCTTTTTCAGGCTAAACATGCCCAGCTCTTTAAGCCGCTCCTCATAGGGCTTGTTCTCCAGACCCTTGATCATTTTAGTCACCCTCCTCTGGACACATTCCAGCTTGTTAATAACTTCTGAGCTAAACACTTTTGGGCTCTCCCTTTTCCTTTCGCCAATAGGTGATTGATTTCATAGGTGTTCTCAGTGTTGAATAGCTTCTTGATAATATGTGTATTTCAGTAGTTCTCCTTGGTTCATGTCTAAGTAGGGATGTAGGACAGAAGTCCTACTCCATAAACCACAGGGAAACTTGCTCTTGCATTGAATTCTATTTGTCTGTGTAGTTGTATACAGATTCTTCTGTTGTCTTCTGTTTTTTCTCTTTCAGTTATAGTATATCAAAATGGGTGTCGTAAAACCTGTTGACATCCATTGCTGATTTTCTTACACGTCTCCTGTTTTGAGAATATCTGCACTATCTTCTACATTGAAAAAAAAAGTAATAAAAATAAGATAGCTGGATGCCACTATCTTGAATAATGTTCTGCTTTTTTCACGTCTTTCTGTGTTTGTTTGTTTTTTAGTGTTGATTATGACACTTTTGATATATTGGAGGACGAAGAGGTAATTTATTCATTTACTTCTCTCTCATGAATCAGTTTGCACAAACCTAATGTGGAATACTGACTTGGAGTTCTGTCTTTTAGGTTCGGCAAGGGTTAAAAAAACATTCAAACTGGCCAACCTACCCACAGTTGTATGTGAAAGGGGAACTTATTGGAGGCCTGGATATTGTTAAGGTAAGGGAAGAACTGTTAGGTAAGAAGTATGCTTATTCTGGTCCATGTTGATATTTGTTGTACTAAGTTCATAATTCTAGTTGCTTTGTGATCTAATCTTCAAATGTTTTTAATTAGTTTGCAAAGCTCTGAATATGTTTGGTCTAGGTATCTGAGGAAACCAACCTTTTCTTTAAGAGCTTTATCTTGTCCAAGGTGAAGTATAATGTCTCAAGATGAAGAATTTTACCAATATCATGGAAAATCTTTCCTCAAGACATTGCTTGGCTTTATAGCCATTGTTCTTTTGCCAAATAGTCAAAACATTTTATTCCAGGAAGCATTTAGTCTGCTAGGTATATGATTTCAGTGTAATTCTTATATATACTGTATATACTCGAGTATAAGCCAAGTTTTTCAGCCCCCTTTTTAGGCTGAAAAGCCCCCCCCCCCCCTGTACTTGAGTCAAAGTTATTTATTATTTTACTCTGTTGTTGTTGTTATTATTAGTCCATTTATTATTTTACTCTATTTATTATTATTCCATTTGTTATTTTACTCTATTATTACTGTTATTATTACATTTCCATTATTTTACTCTTTTATTATTGGAAGGATACGTAAGCACATTTACATTGAAGAAGGTTAGAATAATGGTTTAATCAGTTGAACAGTCTTATCTTAAATTACATTTTTATGTAAATATTCAAATACATTTAACCTACTGATATCTCAATTAATGTAATTTTATTATCTATTGTTTATTTTGAAATTTACCAGTAGCTACAGCATTTCCCACCCTTGGCTTATACTTGAGTCAACACGTTTTCCCAGTTTTTTGTGGTAAAAATAGGTGCCTCAGCTTATATTCTAGTCGGCTTATACTAGAGTACATAAAGTAGCTTGGAGATTCAGAACCCTTTTTTTCTTAAGACCAAATCCAATTGAAGAGACAGCATCCAAAGACATAAAGCTAAACTCTGGTGACTCTAAAGCCACTAGACTCCCCACATTTATTTTTTCATGCAATTCTTGCCCCTAAATTATTTTAAAACACCCACAAAATGTGGGTCTTGCCATTAATCTAAAAGCAAACCAGATGTGATGAGATGTCATTTCTGGATTACTGTAAACACTGAACTGGGAGAAAAATTGGCCTCCATTCCTATTGCCATTGTAGTATATCTTTGGGCTTTAGGGCACCCCATAGGTCCAAATAGTGTGAGGTGGACAAGATATAAATCTTAACCAATGTGAAACCTTCCCAGATTCCAAATCAATAATTTTTGTTCATGGAAACCTTTCCAGGGCTTTTGATAGCCAATTATCTCTGATTCATGATTGGAGATAAGGAGAGAAGAAGAACGTCAAGGAATTATTACAGGCTACATTTTGAAGGTTTTCATTCCTGGATAGAGATCTGCCTGCAGGGCCTGCTTTCATTTTCATACCTTTGTACTGTTATTGTCATTACTAATATAATTGTTGAAATCAAAATATAAACATGAATCTTAAACATTCGTCATTAGTTTTCTATATAACTACTTCTGTGCCTTCCTTGTTGTCATCTGCTTCTGCAGTATTTATATCACCCTGAGTCTCTGTACTCTGAATTCAACCAATGAAGTTTAATTCATTGTCGTAATTAAAAAAAAAATTGTTAACATGCAAAACTTTTCTGATTCCTTTTTTTTTTGTTAAAAAATGAAATTGAATTAGTTTATAGAATTTTCTGTTTTATTATTAGCTTGGTTTATTGGTGGACGTAGCCATATATCTTTGATCTGCAACTACAGTGCCTGCTAAAGTAGCACTGAAATGTGCTTTCTTGACAGTAGTCCTGTAAGAACTACCCCCTCTCTCCCATGGGTGCATTTACAGCTTCCATTTGATTCTTAGAGCTTGCTTTTTGACATTGTTTCCCCTCAAAGAAGGCAATGACATTTTGCGTAGCAAACTGTCTCATTCCTGAAGAAAGGTATGGGCCGGTGCTAACACATTTTATTGTATACTCTCCCCCCTTTTTTCCTTTTGGAAAAGGCCCCAAAGACACAAAACAATATCTGCATTTGTTCTTGCATCTTCTGATATTTGTGTGTCTTTGTGAAAAAGAACAAGCCCAGGCTCCTAATGACAAATACTCCAGAGCCTATTCTTGTCTTGAATGTTTTATAGCCAATACCATAGGCCTTATAACTCCTGGGAAGACAGAATCAATAAATCTCATTAGGTTTTAAAAATAAGTTGATGTTACTTAGCCCATGTACCCAATTTTTTTGAAAAAAAAATGTCTCTGGTGGAGTACTGTACTCAAGGGTTATTTTTATGACCTGTATAGTTTTAAAGAGTGGACAAATTAGCAATTGTGTGTGTGTACATTAATCTTTTTTCTTGTTGAATTTATGCTTTGGGTGCAAGGCTATGCATTTTAGAGAGCTCTGAAATTGATCACATGGCACTAAAAGTTCACATTTTGGTCATTATTTGTGTGGGTGCCAGGTAGCATCTGGTTTTTTTTATTACTGTTAATGAGACATTGCTTCATATAAATCTAATCTTGTCCAGTTAAATAGCATTTATCTATTGTTGACCTACCTAGTCTCTCTTGCTTTGTTGACTTTAATAAGACTCAATGTAAAGGTAAAAGTTTTCCCCAACATTAAGTCTAGTTGTGTCCGACTCTGGGAATACAACTAGACTTAATGTCTAGTTGTTCGTAGACACCTCCAAGGTCATGTGGCTGGCATGACAGCATGGAGCGCTGTTACCTTCTCACAGAAGCAGTACCCATTGATCTACTCACATTTATTTATTTAGTTATTTATTTATTATTTACAACATTTATATGCCGCCCTTCTCACCCCGAAGGGCACTCAGAGTGGCTTACAAGGAATATATACATACAATATATTATATACAATATATTATATTATTAGCAAAGTACAATATCAGTATTAAATATTACTATATTGTACTACCATTATATTGTAATATTATTAGTAATATTACATGTAATATAAAATATATAATTATAATATCATATTATTATTAGTATTATATTGTATTACATTATAATATTATAAATATTATATTATATTACTAGCATAGCACAGGAGACAAGGTGGAACCGTCCCCTGGCCCCCTCTCTCTTCACTCTGGTCCAGAGTGGCAGTTGGTCCTGGGGGGAGCTCCCCCTCCCAACTGATGACATATGCAGGAGACATTTGCATGTTTTTGAACTACTAGGTTGGTCAAAGCTGGGGGTAATAGTGGGAGCTCATCCCGCTCGCTGGATTCAAACCGCCGACCTTTTGGTCAGCAAGTTCAGCAGCTCAGGGGTTTAACCTGCTGCGCTACTAGACCCCTCCCCCCCCTTGATTCAATGTATGAATGAAAATTACAGAACTCAAGCAATGATTTAACCAGTTGACCTTTCTGTCCCAAAACATTTAGCAAGGCAAAATAGGTAGGTTATATGGAGGATTTTTATTCGCCATAAAATAGTGCAAATCCATTGGTCTCCTTATCCCTTGAAACATGACTTCAATATGCCAAGTTGAAAACTGGAAGTGATGTCAGATTAGTTTTGCATTGTGTGGCCGTATGGCCATCTGGATCTATGATGATTTAGTTCAATTGCCCATCCTGGAATTGAACTAAATGTACAAAGATTCTCCTCTTCTATGGCTGACAGTCATCTGAGATTTAACACACAAATTTGGCAAATGCAGTCTGTGCCCTGGGGCAAATAACAAGATAACCCCTCCTTCCCAATTTCATATAAAGAACCTGGTGCTGAATTTTACTTCTATACAAGTGAGAACACTGCATTATCTAACGCAGTAGCTCCAAGTCTTGAACCCAGCCCCCTTTGGCATAATACATTTTTGGAGATGTGGTCCAGCAATATCTATAGGCCCAAGATAGGGAGCACCTGGAGCTTGGAATAGATGATTGGCATCCACAATCATCTGACATATCGATATTGCTTTTCACCTTTCAGCATTTATTGTTTGGACAGACTGCCTCACATTGCCTCATTTAGGGCCAACACTTCTAGCCCTTTTTCATTGCCATTCTGAGACATATGTTGGGTTATATCCCACTGAAACCTGGAACAACAATGACCTTCTCCAAACCTTTGCCCTCTTCACTAGTTGAAGGACCATCTGTATGGTCAAAGAAAAAATGATTGGCAAGCAAAAAAAAATCATGTTTCAATCCTTGACAGTTCTATTAAAAATCATGCTATTGGGTAATGGAGGAGGTTGAACCTGGAGGGCTTCTGTTATTGAGAGTAGACTATAGATTGACAGATATAATCCGACCTGGGGTCCTTTCAGACTACACAATTATAATACAGCGATGCCACTTTTATTGCCATTTCAATATCCTTCAGAGTCCTGAAGCTTGCAGCTCAATGATGCACTAGAACTTTCCTGAAATATTCTAGGGCTCATTGTGATTTTTTAAAAAAATATTTATTTACTTTATTTTTATCCCATTATTGTGATATAGTGACTCTAGGTGGCTAACAATAAATATAAAACAATGCTAATTTCAAACAATATCAAGATAATAACATGTAAATATTAAAATTACAAAGACAGTTAAATAACACCATGTGAAAACATTTGAAATATTTTTTGTTCCTGGCTTGAAAGTGTTATTTCCTGTTTAATTGTTTGGTACTTACTTTGAAAGTAGTTGTTCTACTCCAGAAACTTCGTTTTTGTGTCTGTCGCAAACTTTGTTGAATTGGTTGAGACTCTATGAGAGAGTCATCAAGAAACCATTGTAGTGTGCTGCAAAATGTTCCGCCAACACAACGTTTTTGCAGTTTAATTGATGTTCCCATGTTTTTATGATAGACCCAATTAGAAAATAACATTTATAACTCAGGACCAAAAATCGTGTTACATAGTGTCATTTATACTATTAAAACTACAATGTAAAATGTAAAATCGTAATTTAGTAAGATGAAGAAATGTAGTGTAATATCCTGTCGAAAGGATACTGGTTTTACAAACACAAGTGTACAGTATGATTGGAAGTGTTTCTGGGCCTCTAGGTCCTCTGGTGTGATTTTATAGTATGTTTCTAGCTGAAGTAGAGAGTTCTCTATTGTTCACGGTTTCAAGTATCGATAGAGGGTCTTAGAATGTATCTCCTGCAAATACAGAGATTCTATTCCATACCTCCCAAGTTTCATAACTAAGAGCCTCTGGAATAGCTATTTATGGAGCCTGGTTTTTTTTTTTTAACAATTTCAGTAGTACCACAAGATGGATCCATAGTTCATAGAAATTAAAGCATCCAAGAGATCTGAAAATAGAAGAGACATGTTGATAGGACCTTCATAGACTTTCTGGTTTAGATTAAGAGCCTTTTTACATTACACAATTATAGTACTATCATTGCACTTTTAAATGCCATAGTTGCATCTTGTGGAATTCTAGAAGTTGCAGTTTAGTGATGCATTAGTACTTTTTTGCTTGAGAATACTAAATATCCCTCTCTGAATGACAAACCCCAGGATTCTGGAATATTGACATGGCAGTTAAAGTGGAATCATAGCCTTTTAAGGGATCCCTGATGTAAGGTAGATTCATACTTTTCTCTCTGTGCTGGGCAGGCTCTGTAGACACCCTTTTGGACTATGACAGGATTCCATTTGTGTGAATGACATGTCTCTGGATGACAATCTGATTATTAGTAGAATTTTTGGTTTGCTTTTCCCTCACTCTGGTAGATAATAAACTAAATGCAAAATAACAGTGCAACCTTTTGGACCACCTTCCTCTTGCCAAGCTACTGAATAACTGGCTAAATAGAGCTGTTATTGTGAGATTGCTCTCAGATTTATCTATTTCTTCTTTTCCTAGGAATTAAAGGAAAGCGGCGAATTGTCATCTGTTCTGAAAGGGGAAAATTGAAATAATTGAAATAAAAAAAGTATTATTATTTGTACTGGAAAAATTCATGGCTTAGTCCTGACGGAAAAAATATGCCGGATTCTGACTTCATATTTCACAAGGTCATTTTAGAGCTGTATGGAAATGTAGGTTTTCACCTCAGTATAAGGTTATGAGCATCTTCAAAAGGAATTAAAACTTGATTTCAAAATTGTGTTGTGTCATTGTGTACTTCTGTTTTCCCTTCTATTTACAAGAGGTCTTTAGTTGACTTAGACATTATTAATTTTATGTTTTATTAAATTCAGAGCTTTTCTGACTTCTGGTCTTTCCAGTCAGATGTTCCAGACATACTGAGATAAACTTGGTGCTAGAAGGAGACGCTGAAGTAAGAGAGCATCACAATTTTTTAGTTTTTATATAGATTATAGGGAGAGAGATTCAGGAAAAAATGTGTTTGACTGTAATTGACTTTCAGTGAGAACACAGAGGAACAGGAAAAAAAATGAAGCGATTGTCTATAGGCTCAGTCCAGTCTTGTACTGGTACAGATTGAATATCCATTATCTTAAATAATTGAGATCAAAAATGTTTTGGATTCAGATTTTAAAAAAATATTTTGGAATACCTGTATTTGCATATTATGTATAGTACATATTTGAGATATCTTAATGATAGGAGCCAAGTCGAAACACAAAATTGTGTTTCATATACACCTTGAACACATAACCTAAAGGTAATTTCATACATTGAACAATAAAAACAACAAAAACAATATAATAATAATAATAATAATAATAATAATAATAATAATAATACACTTTATTTATATTTCGCCCTTCTCTCCAGGGGACTCAGAGTAGATTAAAGCATTTTACATACATAAAGATTCAATGCTTTTTACAATCGTATACAAATGAGACACATAAACACAAAGGCAAAGGCTTCTCTTTTTCATTTCCGACTTCTGGAGGCGGTGCTTCATCTCTGGCTTTGCAAAGGTGGTCTCCTCTATTTTTCAAGCCGAGAAGCCAGCAATGTCATCTTCTGATTGTATGGCCAGCAAGATTACTTGGAGTGTCTCTTTGCCTTTTCCCACCGAATTTTTTTTTCGTGTCAGGAGCGACTTGAGAAACTGCAAGTTGCTTCTGGTGTGAGAGAATTGGCTGTTTGCAAGTACATTGCCCAGGGGACGCCCGGATGTTTTGCTATTTTAACATCCTTGTGGGAGGCTTCTCTCATGTCCCTGCATGGGGAGCTGGAGCTGATAGAGGGAGCTCATCCGTGCTTTCCCCAGATCCCACCAAAATGGTACCTATTTATCTACTCACATGTTTTAGAACTGCTACGTTGGCAGGAACTGGAGCTGACAAATGGGAGTTCACCCTGTTTTGCTGATCTGACTGCCGACATTCACATCAGCAGTTCAGCCAACCTTCAGGTCAGCAGTTCAGCGGCACAAGGATTTAAACCGTGGCTCCTAAAAGCATTGAACAATTAAAAAAAGTGTTACTATCTCAGTCACACGTGTACAATTTTGGTTTTTGTGTTAGTTTCAGAATTACAAATAAAGGATGCCCAACCTGTAGTTGCAACCCACAGTATGCACTAAAACATTTTATTCAGGTCGCATTTGTATTCATCATATTTATAAATCTGGAGAATGTTTATTTACCATATTTCTACCCCTCCCTTCTCAACTCAAAAGGGACTGGAGGCAGCCTTATAACAGGCAGCAATTTGATGCCATACACATGTATATTAAAATAAACAAATACAATTAAAATCAAAGAAAACATACATTTCCAAATGATCCCAATTGGAAAACAATTAAAACATAAAAATATACAACATTAAGCATCTTGTATACTCAATAAAATGCATGATCCTCCATGCCGGTTTTCGTATTAAGAGAGAACCCTTAAATCAATGGATAGTTCAACAAATGTGGAGGGCTGGCAATGTTGCCATCCTGACCAGAAGCCACTATGGGTCTCATTTTCTGAATGTTCAAATGTGTTTTTCAGGCAGAAGGCCATACCTGAGACATCATGGCTATTCAATAAAGTAAGAGCTATGCCTGCACTGGCCTTTTAATTTTCTTTTACTAAGTTAAATATGTCTTGTATAACTTGCATTGTGTCCAGTTTTAACTATAACTGTGGTTCAAGAAGGATATTGACAAGAAAGTGCATTCAAAGAAAGGCGATTAAAATGATTAAAGGTTTGTAAACAAAGCCTTATGAGGAATGGCTGAGGGAGCTTGGTATGTTTAGCCTGGAGAAAAGAAGACTGAGAAGGGACATGATGTCCATCTTTAAATATCTGAAAGGCTGTCAAACAGAAGAAGCTTGCTTTCTGCTGCTCTGGAGACTAGGACACAAAGCAATTAATTCAGATTGCAGGGGGGGAAAAAGATTCCATCTGAACATTAGGAAGAACTTCCTATTCATAAGAGTTGTTTGGCAGTGGAATATTCTGCCTTTGAGCATGGCAAGGCTCCTTCTCTGGAGGTTTTTAAGCAGAGGCCTAATGACCATCTGTTAGGGGTGCTTTGATTGTGTTTTCCTGCATGGCAGGGGGTTGGACTGGATGACCTTTGTGGTCTCTTTCAACTGATTCAATGTGGGCCTACATCCAGTCGTTAGTCTGAATTAGAGCAATCCCAAGGGATAATAAGTGGGGACTACGTTCTTGTTGAATCAATTGAGAAACTCTAGTTAGCACTGTATTCCGCCCAGGAGTGGTGACTGTGTGCTATTGAAGATTCTGCTGAGCTACAACACCCAGCAGTCCCAGCCAGCACAGCCAAGAGTAAGGGGCTGAAAATTGCCACTCAACAACATCTGGAAGACAATGCAATTCCAACTTCCGACTTAGGTCTCCAATTAATGGTAAGTGGGTAGGATTTATTTTTATTTTAATAGGTTAAAGTCCTAACAAACAAGATTGAAAGACCAAAGTCAGCCAAAGCGAGACTTCACGAGGTATGGTCGCAGCTGGCGCACAAGTTTTAGTTGTGCAAAGACCCTCCCAGCCACCGCCGACACCTGAGCATCAAGCATCAATGCCGAGTCCAGGAGGACCCCCAGACTGCGGACCTGTGTCTTCAGGGGGAGTGCAACCTCGTCGAGCACAGTTCGCCACCCTATACCCCGATCCGACATGCAACTGACCTGGAGGACCTCTGTCTAGTCTAGCCTAGTGATTTTTTTTAAAAAATATGAGGTTCATATTAGCAGTGTTATAAATTTAATGATTGTTTAGAATTCTTCCACATTATATAATTACAGCACTGTGATTCCACTCTAACTGCCATGGCAACATCTAATTGAATCCTGGGATTTTCAGTTTTCGAAGGGCATTTAGAATTCTGAGCCAGAGTCCAGGATTCCATTGCATGCTGTCATATCAGTTAAAGCAGAATATAGTTTGAAAAGGTCCTTCATTTAAAATCCCATCCATTTGCTACAGTTGTCATGTACTCAAAAAGTTGCTCCAAAATCTGCCTTTGGCTCCTTCCATTTCCATATAAAATCCAGATTATCTGCTTTGAACTGGATTATATAGACCAATATAATCCAGTTCAAAGTAGATAATGTAAATTGATCTGCTTTGATAGTATGGAATTATATGGCAGTGTAGAAGGGGCCTGAGGCTTTGTTTCTATTGCAATATTAAGAGGCTATTCAGCGGGTTCCACGAAAGTGTATTAGGATGGTCTTTCTGGTTTACCAACCTTATGTTTCCTGTTGAATTATTTAATGCCACCTCTTTGATGAAATAAATAAATAAGGCACACCTTTATCCTATACTGAAATTTCAAAACAGAAACAGCAGAGATGGGAGCAGCTATCCTCACAAGTTTCAAATTCTATGCACAATTTATATACATTTAAAAGCCCAAAGCAGTGTAAGTGTGGTCCAGAATAAGATAGAGGTTTAAGAAAAGGAGTAAAGAGAAAGTTTTTTCTTGAGAAAGATTTGATTTACACACACACACACACACACACAAAATACTAGACTGTGTGGTTCCAGATGAATTCTGGGATTTTAATGGTGATAGTTTTCTTATTTATATGTGATTATGTGCAGATGCTTCTAAAATGTTTTGCAGATCTATACTCTATACCCCCGGTGGTACAGTGGGTTAAACTGCTGAGCTGCTGAACTTGTTGACCAAAAGCTCGGTAGTTTGAATCTGGGGAGCAGGGTCAGCTTCCGCTGTTAGCCCCAGCTTCTGCCAACTTAGCAGTTCGAAAACATGCAAATGTGAGTAGATCAATAGGTACCGCTTCGGTGGGAAGGTAACGATGCTCCATGCAGTCATGCTGGCCACATGACCTTGGAGGCGTCTATGGACAATGCTGGCTCTTTGGCTTAGAAATTGAGATGAGCACCACCCCTCTGAGTTGGACATGACTGGACTTAATGTCAAGGGGAAACCTTTATCTTTACTTACTCTGTCTTTAATTTATCTTTGAAGAGATCCCTCAATAGTTGGATAATATCAGGTGCCAAAATACAAAATGGTATCATTCAATTGTGAATATTGTAGCAGTGATAAGGAAATACGATATATATATATACTTAGTTTTATTGGTTTTATCATATCTTATCATATCATATTTATCATATTTATTTACTGTACTAGCCATCCCCTACCACGCGTTGCTGTGGCTCAGTGTGTGTATATGTGCTTTGTGTGTGTATATGTGTGTGTATATATTTGTGTATATGTGTATATGTGTGTGTGTGTGTGTGTGTGTGTGTGTATATATATATATATATATATATATATATATATCCTAGTTCATATTTCATCTGTTCATGCTCAGCATTATTCTTAATTTTTAATTATTACATTTGGCCCTGCCATAGGTTTTAAATGTCGTTCTGTTACTGTTATTGTTTATTTTTTGTTATGAGTTTTATTTTATTGTCTCTATTAATTGTTGTTATTGCTTTTATCATTGATGTATTGTCGGCTCGGCCTCATGTAAGCCGCACCGAGTCCCTCGGGAGATGGTAGCGGGGTATAAATAAAGTTTATTATTATTATATTATTATTTGCGCATGTGTTGTAATGTATTTTTTTAATTTTTTGGTTTTTTAAGTCTCTTCTGCTCATCACTCGTCACTCATAAAAAAACACGGTTTTTCAGTGTTTTTGAGTGATGGTCACTCATTGGCCTGATAGGTGTCTTGTGTCCA